TAATATCTCAATTTTTTTTAACATTTTTTTAATTTGCTGTTATAGAAATAACAATTTTTCAATGAGATTTTTAAATAATGTGGGTTTATCATGTACAGATTTAGTTTAAAAATATTGTTGCATGGATGAGAGGTGAACAACAATGACAAGTCGTTTGTGAACATGAAAGAATTTTTTATTACTCCACAGAATGTACTAACTCTGCAGCGTGCAGTACAAGAACTAACTCTTAGTCAGATAGCTTGCGCTTTTATCACACAGGAGCACATTCGTGAAACATTCCAATGACAGTTAATTAACATACATGAACTTTCTCAAAGATTTGAGAAAGTAAACATAAAAGAGCAAAAACAAATTTACAATTGTGCAGGTTTGAACCAGAAACCTTCCAATTCATAGACTGAGAGGATAACCACTGCGCCATGGTGTTTGACGGTTGACAAATGAAATGTGGCAGTATAAACTGAAGATATAGAATTGTTAGTAATTTCATAAAATAGCTTGAAATAACATCAGAAGTCATATTAAATCTTTTAAGAGAATAATTTTTTTTGGGGGTTTGCTCATTTGTCTCTGTTGGTCCATTTGTCTTGCCTAGTTTGTCATTGTATAGTTTGCTTTTTGCACTGTCTGTCTAACTGTTAAGTAGTATTAAGATTTGTGATTGCATTCAGTTTTATTAGTATTAAATAGATATAAGTCTTCCTACTAACAGCCATTTGGCACTAACTTCTACACTTAGCTATTCGTGACAATACTCAATTATTGGTGTTTGCTACAGTCAGGTTTTCTTTTAGACCCTTCAGGGGATTATGGCCTTGCAGCCTAAAAACTGCACACCAACATCAAACATCAAACATAGAGGGTACTGTAGCCATATGTATGCTGTTTCTTTTTCTACTGTCTATTTCTTCTCTTGCCTTCTTCCCCTCCCCTTTCCTTTATCTTTCTGCTGGATAAACACTTCTTGTATGGCTGATGTCTTTTTTGTTTGTATGTATGTATCTATTTAAAACTGCATATAAATTAGAAGAAATAAATAATTTTGTTTTTATCTGATCATCAATTATAATTCTTAAATACCTATAAGAATACTAAGTAAGGACTGCATTTGTATGCAGTCCTTACTTATTATTTAAAGAATTATGAATGTGCATTTGTATGAAATTATGCAAGTGCATTTGTATGCATGTGTATAATTTTTTCTTTAAATGCTATGATGTTGAACCTTGTTATAAACGTGATTTGATTGAAGTGGATCAAATTAAGGTTGTCAAAAACTGTTATGCAGTAAAAATCATAAATGCATACTTTATATTTTGCAGATTTGACCATTTTCAGCACAAAATAAGTACTTTATAAACTTTATAGCTTGTTTGCATAATTGCAAGTGCTATTTTTTCAAATGATCTGTAATCTATATTTCTGCTGTCTATGCAGTGGATCTTTTTTGTGCATGTACACGTATAGTACAGTTTATGTGAGAAATATCACTCTGACATCTAATTACAGATGAGAGCACAAAAATGCAAATGTTTTATATACAGTCCTTCCAACAATAATAGAACATACAGTGGTTGCCTAGAAAACTCTTTATTATTTTCATGAATTTAAATTTAAATTTAATGAAATTTTCTAGTACATTTTATAGTAAGATATCAACAATTACTGCACAAGTTTTAAGAAAAAGGATTAATAAACAAAAGAGATAGATACTGTTAGCAAAAATATAATGTTCAACATTAATAAAACATCTTGACTTATGATATCTTTAAATTAAAATTAGTAGCTGATTTTGCTACCATTTTTGGAAACAAATTGAAAAATATGATTAGACATTGAATTAATCAATGATTGAAGTCATTCTTGTGGAATATTTTCCCATACTTCAATGAAAGCAGCCTTTAATTCAGTGACGGTCTTGTATTGCTTTCCACTGCTATACATTTAGAAAACCAAGTCTCCCAAAGGTTTTCAATTGGGTTTAAATCTGCACTGAGAATGGCCAGTCCAAAAGTCAAATGTTCTTGCTCTGAAAAAAGTCTGGAACTGCCTCCAAACAAGCACCTGATAAATTTCAGAGTTGTTCTGACCTTCAATAAATACTACATCTGTCTTTTCATTCCGTCCCATCTACCCAGGTCATGAGTATACCACCACCAACTACTCTCTTTGAGTACTGCTTTTGATCTAGTCTTTTGTCTGCCCATTAATATTTAAAACCATCAAGTCCATTGAGATTTCACTTTTTTTCATTCAAGAAAATTACTTTTTGCCATCTTTCTCTTCTTTCAAAGTTGTTTCTGCAAACTTTAATCAAAGTTGTTTGTGTTTCTGCTTGGGCTGGTTGTCTTCATTGTGATGAAAGAAACATGGTCTGTTGATCTCAAAATATTGTATACTGTTGATTTACTGCAGCTCAGCTTTAATTCACTTTTTATTTTTTGAACAGATATGTTTCCTTGCAGGGCATGTTGTTCTCTAGATGTTGTTGAACTCTTGTGCCCACTGTTTTGTCTTCCTGTTTATTGATCTTTATTATTGAGATACTTTGAATGTTGAATGAGGTCTTCTTAAAATTTTAGCAATTCAAGTTACTTTTCTCCCTTTCTGGTGAAATACATCACTTTTGATCTTCTCCTCTACAGTTAGGACCTTACTTTGTCCTACTTTTAATATTAAGGTGCTATGCAATTTACTAAACTTTTCTTTTCACTTGTTGTTTGTATTTTTATGCAAATTTTGGGGATTTCAATCAGTACATGTTCTATTAATGTTGGACAGACTATTTTTATGATAATTTGTAAATCTTTTCTTTATTAATTCTTTTTCTCTAAACTTATATTTTGCTCTCAAATATACTAGAAAATTTCATCAAAGTTACGTGAAAATAATAAAGAGTTTCTAGGCAATCACTGTATGTTCTATTATTGTTGGAAGGACTGTATGAACTACATAACATTCTCATTCTTTTAAAGTCCTACAAACACATTTTGCATTGTATGGAAATCTCTCATTTTTCAAATTCTCAAAATTCTTTCAATTAATTAGATTAAAATTATTGTAAATGCTACATTTTAGTAATGTTAATTTTAAATCTTTCAAAAAAATTATGTAAGTAAATTGTTTAATTAAACAGACTATAAGGGAGATAATTTCTTTTGAGTAAAACAGTCACATTTTTACATATGGAGCAAGTGCAGAAAGATTTCATTATATTCAGTTAGATTCAATATAAAAAACTAATGCTGAATTGCCCAGAATTATATACAGAAATTTGGACCTTAGACATGTAAAACAGTTAGAAAATTTTTTTATTGTAATGTATCATGTAATGTATTTAAAAATTAGTTTTGAGTGTCTTAGTATGTTGAAACATTTTTATACCAGTGCAGTGGGAAAAGTTAAACTTAGCCAAAGTGGCAATTGATCACAGGTAAGTTCTAGTTGCACTGAAACTAACTTTAGTAGAATTCATAATCTCAGTTGGGAACAAAACATTACTCTGAATTTTAACACTAAATCTATAATTATTTAATTACTTAATAAGAATATTTACTCATTTCTCATTATTTTTATAGGGCTTTAAACAAAGATATATATGACTTGATCAGTGATGTAACTATAGAATGACGGAAACTAGGTTAACTCAGTCATCCTCAAACATCTTGTAAACAGTTGCATATACTATTTTTTATTATAAAGTATTATAAGCAAAATGAACCTTGCCAATTCGCAATAGAAAAATAGTCCAAATAAAAACAATGAAAAATATAACAAATTAAAACAAAATGCAAAAGCCATTAAAACACATATAAAACTTTTTGCATATATACTTAAATATAACATAAAAATCATGATGCAAAAGGTCCATGGTGTTTTTGATAAAGCTGCCAAATCTGTAAAAATAAGAATTTTGGAAGATTAGAAAGCTTTTATTAGCCTTTTACATGATAAAAACAAAGGATTACAAGTTTAAAATCTGGTATATGTATGTTAAAATAAAAGGGTGGGATAAAACCATTAAAATATTGAAAGTAATGATCCTATCAAAATATGTAACTCTGTCTTCAAAATGTGGACATTCTAGACAAAGACATGCAGTATAAGAAAATTCAATATGTGGTAGATTAGCAGACTTATTTAATAGTAGATATATTTTAGATAATTTGGTAATGATTTTGCTTTTTTGTGTATTTGAGGCAGACACCCAAATGAGAAGGCAATAATCAGTAATTGAAAAGTAGTGAAAAATATTGAGTAAAGTAGGGCTTTGGAGGAAATAGATTGACAGTTTCTCTACATGATTCTTTACATGTAGCCAATCTCTTAGTAATCTAGTCAAGGTAATATTTATTTAAAGTGATTTTATTGTCTAAATAGATACCTAAATTTTTAATACAATTGACATAGGTAAGGTTATGGTTGTAGACCTTAAAAATAAAATTAGGTGATTTTTAATAAGAGCAAAATACATAGAGACTGTTTTGTTAACATTGATGGAAAGATTCATAGATATAGAAATAAATTCAATAATGATTGATCAGATAGTGTAGAAAATTATAAAATTTTATTGAACATGTAATTTTATTCATAATTGGCTTGATTGTGTACCTCCTACGTGAAACATTAGTCTAATATATGTTTTGTGACATCATAATTTTCAAATTTCTCATGTCATCTGTCACATGTTTATGACATTCTGTCTAATAAGTATGATCATTAGTACAGATTTACTTACAGAGGTAAAGTATATGCATTTTAACCTACAAATTTAAGTTTACGTTACTGGTGCTTTTAACATGCATAATGCATATTTCAGGTATTTTAATGTACTGTACACATAGCAGTGCATATATCTGGGATTTCATGTGCTTATATATGCACATATATTGCAATTTTAAATGCAAATAAATCTGGTTCTTTAGATTTTATACATTTATATTTTATATATCAAAATAGTATATTTTAATTGTATAATTTTTTCTAACTTTTATTAGTTTGGGACAAAGATTACACAAGCCTTTGCTGCTAAAAGATATGCAGATAAAAAAACTGAATATGATGCAATACAGAAAGCTAAAAAGTTGAAGAAACTTAATTGGGGGTAAGTGATATATATTTTAGAAGAAATTATGCTATTACTAATGGTTTATTTAGATTTAATATACTAATTGGAAAAAGTAATTAACAATTCACATATTCTTTCCAGCAGTTTTTAATTAAGCAAATATTCTAAGCATTTTTTCATAGGTTCTCCTCAGGATACATTTGCAATGGAAAGATTGTCCATTATAAACTGGAACACTCAATTCGAACAAATTACACATACCCAATTCATGTTGAAGTGTTATAGCAACATACTGTATATGTTTATTATGGCATTTGTGAACATGTTTTTGTGTTACATTCTTGAATGTGAAAATTTGAAGGACTCAAGTTTAGTTTGAACTATTTTCAGTTTTAAACTGAAAGAAAGATTTTTCTGCTTTAAATTTGTTTCAATCAGACAACATTCCATTTTATAATGGACAATCTCTCCACAGTAATTGTAGCCTGAGGATGGCCTATCAAAAGAGGCCAAAAATATTTGCTTAATTAAAAAACTGTTGGAAAAGTGTGAATTGTTAATGGCTTTATTTGTTAATGAATCTGAAGAATTAAGAAAATATGTAAATGATTATATAAATTTAATACTAATTTCAAAAATTTTAATTTTATCATTGATATTAAAAGTAACAACTGGTTACTTAAATAACAATAAAGTTGTTTGAGCTTTATACACTATGTAGCAGTTATGGATTTGAATCTTGCTCTGGATTAGTCTTTTCTTCCATAAATTAATTTAATATTTGATGGCAACTTAGTCAAAATTACATAATATATGTATATTTAATTGGTCAAATTATAATTTAAACTATAATAATAACATAAACTATAATAAGTTTATGGCCAGATGGCCAAGTGGTCAATGTGGCAGCCTACTGCTTTGGAGACCTGCTCTGTCTGGAAATGTTGGGGCACATCCCTCACCATGTCCACTTGGCCAAACCCATAATGAGTTTGCTAAAAGAGGTCGCCTTAGTGCTCACAGGGAGGAAAGAGTTTTAAAAAATGTCAAATTATAGTCTAATAATCTGGCTTTATCGTTTGAGTATGTGTAAATAATTACCATACTTTCTTTTAATTTAATGATGAAGTCTATAAAGCTGTGTTTTGTCATTTTCAATATTTTAAAATGATTAAAATAATTTAATNGAAATTTTGTTATCATTAACATACCTGATAATACAGGAAAAAAATCTACTAAATTGCTTAGATTATCTATACTAAAATTTTGTTTTAGAAAATCAATTAGCCTTCATTCATATGTACTAACAGAAATGCTTTAAAACTGCTTTAATAATGCTTTAATTTCAACTGTCTTAATTGGTCATCATTAGGTTCTAATCTACAATACTGTATTTTTTTAAATAAATATATTCAGTTCATATTATACATTAATTTCCTGTAGCTATTTAAATGACAATCCACAGCAGGATGACAATACACAAGTGGTCATCCGGAGTTCTACGCTCACTCCACCTAATACAGACAATGACCACAACTTCACCTCCATCGAGGTTTTTGCTCACTGATAACAAAGCCCTATGTCTTGACAGCATAACCACTAGGATAATAAAACATGCATTTGAGGCCAATCCTACAGCATTTGTAATTCTCTTCAATATCTGCTTGACACTGACTGGCCTTTTTCCTACTCATTGGAAAAAGGCTAGTGTCAAATTGATTCCCAAAGCTACCAGTGCTAACACTTACAAAAAATACAGACTGATCTGTCTTCTCCCAACCCTGGGGAAAGTGTTAGATGGTATGGTCTAATGATTAATAGGATTACTGCATCTATGCAAGCATAGAGCCCTTCATCAGAATCAGTTTGGCTTCTCTAAAAACAAAGGTACAGTAGATTCCATCCATTGGGTCATTAACTACATCCACCATGCTAAACAAAACAATCAGCATACCACAATTATCACTATTGACTTTAGAGGTGCCTTCAATCATGCCTGGTGATATTTTATCCTGCACACATTACATGCTCATCACTGCCCTCAAAATCTTTACAAACTTCTTCAGTCCTATCTTAGCAATAGGAGTGTAGGTCTTTTTTTTTCATTTCATTTTTTTATTTAGTATTTATTCGTACATTAAAATAACATGCACATCCTGGTCCTGCTTTTGCATTACCAGGGTTATAAGGTTACAAATACAATTAGAAGACACTAGTTTTACATAATTGAATTTCATAAATTTTACATAAAATTTTAAAATTTAAACTAAGTAAAAGTGAGTGTAAAATTATCCTAATTAATATTAAGTTAAAAGTAACATTTTGTATTAAAGTAATATGACAGAAAAACATTATACATTAACAGAGAATTGATAATAAAAGTACTTAACATCAAAATAAATTTAACTTAACACTAAAAACTTAATGTATTAACTTAAACTAACAACTGAACTACCACAATACAGTCCTTTAGTTATGTGTGGGAGTGAAAAGTGGTGAAATTTTTTGCACAGTCTTTCGAAGGCACAATACACACACTCACTTTTGAAAAAGTCAGATGGGGCACATGGCCAGTCGATATTCAGTTCTTGTAGGAGTAGTATTAGCTCCAACCGTTCATTTTCTAAAGTGACGCAGTTATAAAGGTAATGAAAGAAATTGTCTTCTACTTGACATGTAGGACATAAAGGAGAAACTCAATTGGTGAATCTGCAAAGATAACTTGCGAACTTACCATGATTGGTAAGTATCTGTGAACTGTAGAAATTAGGAGAGAACCAGTGTAGAGTAGTGAGATAAATCAGATTAGGTATAAATTTTGCTGTGTGATTATTATTGATGTTCCATTGGATTTGCCATTCATATAAGGTGTCTCTCCAAAGTTCCTGTCGGATGGTTTTCTTGCTAATTTTGCTGTAGGTAATAGGGATTGTGTCATCCTCTGCAGCCATTTTAGTGAGGGTATCTGCTTGTTCATTTCCATGAAGTGTAGGTGTTTATACAACACAAAATAACAGTCATACCCAGCACTCGAGGCTGTCCTCAGGGATCCAGGTCTGGTCCTGGTCTCTGGAACAAAGCCTATAACTTTTTCCTGCACTTAAACAACACCCTGCCTCCTGGCTGCTGCATACAGGGCTATGCGGACGACACAATTATCCTAGCTTCACATAGTGAACAGTAAACGCTTACAGGACATATGCAACAATATTCTCAATAACATTCACCAGTGGAGTATTAAGCATAGGCAACCCATTAACACAGACAAATGTGAAAGCATGATAGTTGGTAGGAACATGCCACTTGTCAGGAAGCTGACCCTTCGAATAGGTGCTTACAGAATAAAGCAAAAACAGAAATTAAATATTTAGGTGTTATTCTTGACGAGAGACTTAATTTCACACTCCATATCAAATACATCACAGACAAAGCTAAAAAGATGGCCAACGCTCTCATTAGTATTGCTAGGAACACATGGGGCCTTGGCCCTAATGCTACTAAGCTTATTTACATGGGTGCAATTCAGCCAGCACTCCTCTGTGCCATTCAGGTCTGGGCCCATGTGGCCGCCAAAGTCCATAACCATAAAAAACTGTTATTCATTCAAAGGATTGCAGCTCTCTGTATTTGTAAGGCTTATAGAACCTCACCCACTAGTGCCTTTTGGCAATATTAGGATTGACCCCTATCAACTTAGAAATTAAAAGCATTATTTGGCAGGAAAATATCATCACCTTACCCTGGCGAGACTATAGCAACTCGGATGTTGACAAAATATTTAGAGTAGGTAAGATTTCCCCAGTTTGACCTTGATCGATGATATAAAAAATTCAGCATCAACAAAAATATCCTCCCAACTTACAATTACCAACCCTCCCATTAGCTTGCCCCTGATCTTCACTTCGAAGATCAGGTGATCATCCCATGTTTAGGATTTATACTGACAGCTTCAAGATGGATGACAATGTGGGTGCTGCTTTTGTAGTTTACTTCGACTTAGGCCACAAGCTTCACAATGCTTGTTTCCATCTAGATACACACTGCTCAATAGCACAGGTGGAAACTTTAGCTATTTATATGAGCTTAATTCACATTAGGCATAGGAAGGACAACAGACACTACTTACACTATTGCATTTATTCTGATAGTAGGGTAGCTTTACACAGGATTGCGAAGTCTGATAGTCGCTTAAAACTCATCCATCTCATACACCACATTCTCAGACACTTAGACAACAACATTAGAATAGATTTCCAATGGGTCTGAGGTCATGTAGGGTTCTCAACAATGAGACCACTGAGTGTCTTGCCAAACAAGCCTTAATGTCTTCAGTCACTAGTCCTTTCAGTTACATTCCTACCTCGTACATCAACAATCACATCAAGAAGCAAATCTTCATTTTCTGGCAAGAAAGCTGGGACCATGACACCACTGGTAGGCTCACCTACACTTTTATCTTCAAGGTTGACACTACTGCGATTCTTCACCACTTTTACCCTAGTTACACCCTCACTCAGCTGCTTACAGGACATGGCAACTTTAAGCAATACTTGCATAGATTTAACCTTGGGGACAATCCACAATGTGGTTGTGATATTCAGGAGGACCAAACAACACTTTACTTAGTTTTTGCTGCAATAGATACAATTACGTTAGGGATAATTTAATGAGAGCTGCTATTCTTGATGAGTACAACTGGCCTTTCAACCCACACAAACTCATTCACACACGTACAATGTTCCATCATCTACTTGCATTCATACTCCTTAGTGGGACTCTTGAGAGCACTCACTCCAGGGGAAGATGGCAATTAGCTTTCCCTTGCTTTGTTTCAACTGTCAGTATATACAGTAGACCCCCTTATAACGTGGTAGATACGTTCCTCATTATACGAATTTCATGTTGTAGGAATCCTTAAATATATGAGTCAATCACAGCCCGACACGTGTGAAGTTTACAGACTACAGCTGTTTGAAAGGTTTTCTTCCATAAAATGAATCGATTCTAGACTAATTCGACTTAACATTTCCAAAATACATATAATTTTTTGGGAATAATCTGTATAAACTATGCTATAAACAAAAAATTGTAGGATTACTTACCGAGTGTGCATCGTTCGACGTCGCCATTGCTTAAGCTTGTGTTCGTCACGGAGCAGCGCACCAAACGGCGGCCGCGATTTCTGATGTTATTTTTCTGCGAAAAATTTGTTGAACTTTGGAGACATCATTAACAGAAATAATTTTTATGGCCGTTGAATAAGAAATGTTTCTTTCACAAGAAATGTATAAAATTACAGTGCTGTATTAGACTTACGGTANATTCAAATAAGGAATTTATGATATATATTACAAAATACATTATTCAATAACAAAGAATTAAAAGCTTTAAAAAAATATATTTTTTAATTTATAAAAATTTTCAAATAACTGAATTTTTAGGTATTACAGATATATTTATTAATTACCTCTTAATTTGACAAAAGTATGTAAATAAAAAAATTTATCAGTATTTTTAAATGTTATTTCTGAGATTAAAAGTGTTTATTTTTCTTTAGTAATTGACTTAATTAAATCAAACAATCATGTTACAGTTAACTTGCATAGTTTTAGAGAATGAAATCACTATATTTTATTCTCTAATTTTGAATCAGTAAATTTTCAAACAAATTTTTGAATCATTGATTGTAAAAAATGACTTGTATTACTAAACGATTTGTCAGATTATTTTTCAGGTTATATTAAATCCAACTAATAATCAGATATAGAGCAGTTTAGCTAGAGATAGGAAATTACACTTGAGATATATACTTGAGACATTGGAACTGTTTTCAACTATTAATTGAACATAAACAGTACATCAGCTATATATTTGAATTCTAGCAGTTACATAAATATTTAATTGCAAATCTTTTTGGCATACTTTCTGCCTTTTTCAAGCTAGCATACATTATAGAATGAAATCAAACAGAGAGAACATTATGGTTCTAAACTTCAAACAGTTGAAATGAAAATGTTTGAAGTTAAAACTCATCATGTTCTCTATTTAATTTTGTAATGCATGTTGATAGAAAGTTGCATAAACTATGTTGAAAACATTTGCAATTAAATACTTAACTGCTAACTGATTTCTATATACAAAGATGATTATTAAAGTTGATTAATATCATCTTGCAGTTTGTTTTAACTATTTGGCTTTATTAAAAGTGCTTTTTGTCAGTAATATTTTAATTTTATAATTATATTTTAAAACTTTATACTTCATTGTCAATAAAACAATAACCAGTTATTAAAGATTAACGTTAGGACTGGCTCAACTGCTTCTCCAATAAAGTTGAAAAACAGGAAGTTTTACTGAATCTTGAGTTAAAATGAGTAATAAAATATTGAAGTAGTTGAAAAATGAAGAAGACAAAGTAAGCATTGATTTCCATGAGTAATCAACTTGTACCAAGTAGTCAACTTACATATAAACGATTAAATGAGGCTTTTTGTTATCTTGAATTATGTTTTATGATATTCAAGCAAGACTTATTTCCAGGGCTGTGGAGTCGGAGTCGGAGTCGTGGAGTTTTGGTGTTTTAGCCGGAGTCGGAGTCGTCAAAAACTCCGCCGACTCCGACTCCTTTTTACTTCCCAACTTGTAATATATATAAAACGGAAAAGTATTGGAATAGTGTCAAATTTGACCCTCCGTGTTTCTTTTGCAAAGGTACACGTTTGGAGACCTCCCAAACCCCTCAAAAAAGTCAATAAAAGGGGAAAAATTCGCGCGCATGTGTGTTGCATCTAATTTGTTTAATTCCTTTATTTTCTGTTCTGAGATATTAAACAATATCTCAGAATGGGTAAAGTTTAAGAAACGAAATGTGGCACTGTGGCTTGTGTATAAAGGAGCATTAATACTATTAAATTTTGGTTCTTAAAGGTCGACAGGGTGAAGACATAAAAGTGGTCATGTGTCATATCTCTTAATGAATATTTTACTCTTTATTAGCGTTAAAAATAAAAATAAAAATAATAATAATAATATAAAACTCGTCTCTACCCTCAAAGTAAGCTTTTTTGTCATTTTACAATAGTACAGTAAAACCCGTTAAGATGTTCTCGCCTAAGATGTTAGAATGTTTTAGTTCACGATTTAGTTCAACCACTTTGACGCTTAATAACTAACTCTTGTATTAAACTATCTGACTCCGATTCTGACCACTCTGACCACAGAATTATTAGGCTTCAAATAGGGTGAACGAAATCATGCCCCACACACACAGTCTAACATCCACACACATAGAAAAAAAACCTCGAATCTTTTATATATCGAAATTTCAAGATGTCCCGAGTCCAAAAATGTAAAAATTTGGGAGGGGTCATTTTTTGACCGAGCGCTACACTTTCCCCAAAACAGCCGGAAAAGTAAAAATTATCGAATACATGTTTATATATTACTTAGAGGAGTCTTATAGCTTTGGAATAAAAAGTTTCTACGTTCTATTTTTATTAGAACTCTATTTATTGAATCTTTTATTCTGAAATCACGTGATGACATTAGAATTTCCGGGTCTCTTTCGGTAACAAGTCCGCCCCGAGTCGGAGTCGGTAGATTTTTACGCGACTCCACAGCCCTGCTTATTTCACAGTTAAAAGAAATATAATACAATGTTCTTCTACTTATCATGGATTACTACATGAGAAGGGGTCAGTAAGCTGTAAAACTGGATACGTTCTTCCAAGAAATCTTAAATGTATCCGTAATTGAAAATGAAATAAAATAAATAAGACGAATTAATAATAGAACATTTTTATCACTTAGAGGTGGCAAAACACTATCTTTCTAAAATTATAAGTATTTAAATGAGAAAATCACTTTCTTTAGCACAGTTTTTGGACTCGTAAATCGCTTTAGAAGAAAACTCACCGCACTTGAAAATACAGGTAGGCCTCCTACAACGCGGTAGATACGTTCCTTGAAAATACCGCGTTGCGAGAAATCGCGTTATAGGAGACATCAACTTAATACAAAAACTTGGATTCGGTTCTAAAAAGAGAAAAACTTGTCGTTTAAATGGCGTTTTTTGAATTTTCCAAACCAGCTATTGCTAGCCACGAATTTAACACTGGTTTCATCAGCCAACGACTCTCCCATTTGTTTTAAATAATCAAATACAGTATTTTTAAGGCTTTGTGTTTAAGTGCACTTTTATTTAAAGGCAACCATTTCTTGTTCATATCTTCTACCCATAATATTAGCATTTGTTCCATTTTTTTTTTTTTTTATTATAGGTGCTCTCGGACGAGCAACATTTTTCGCAAGAATAGATGATCCGGATGTTACTGAATTCCTAATCTTTTCTTCCAATTGCTTAATCGACCGAATAGTTGACTCATTTAAATTAAAATGCCTACCAATATCAGCTATCCGCTCTTGATTTTTAATTCGATCCAAAATTTCCATCTTTGTTTGAAGAGATATATTAATAAATTTCCTTTCTAACGACGGTACTTTCTTTTCATTCGACATTGTTATAACTAAAATTTTTTCAAGCAGTTTTGTGGACAGTAAAAATCTCAAAAAGTAACTTCCCTTCTCTATGTTGTTAAAAATATACACCCAACAGAAGTTTATACTGTATTTTGGACCATTTTTGCGGTCCCCATCTATTGAAAGAGTATAAATTATCGAAAATTCAGTGATATATTTGAGTGTTTATGGTAACTGATGCACATCTGTCTAGATACCGGTCTTCCCCTTAATCTTTCATGGGAATATCACGTCAACGTGGAAAAACAGCTGTTTTCGAGAACATTTAGCTCTGTACACCGAACTGCGGCGCGTATTACGTGATCCGTTGCGATTTTTCTGTTATGTGAAAGATAATTCGTTTCTAAATATCGTAAACCGCGTTGTAAGAAAATTTCCGCATTTTTCCAACCGCGTTGGAGCGAAAACGCGTTGTAAATATACCGCATTGTAGGAGGCCTACCTGTACTAAAAATTATTATAAATAAGCATCACTGATTTTTAAATCATTTATGCTAAAAAATTGTTTTCTTTTCTATTTTGGAAAGTTAGTTTTGTTAACAAATTAATGAACAATTTTCTGTTACTGTAATATTAAGCGTTTAGAATCATACATTTGTTATATTTACTATTCAATTCGTAATCGATCTTAAACTTTTTCATACTTTTTTCTTTCCCTTACATTGCATTGTAAGTTTTCTCACATTGCAATGTAAGAAAAGGGAGGCGATAAGTAATTATTAAAACAATAAAACTTTTATTTCAAGTAATCATTTTATTTTCGGTTCAAGAATTTTTATTGATTAGTTGATTCAGATATTCCTGATCCTTCTCTCACAGCCCGTTTACGCCCATTGTCGCTTATCCACTTAAAAAAAAAACAAATGCCTATTGGACAAAATGCTTCAAGAAAAAATAAGAGTCGTTCTATAAAGTCCGTTTGTTTAATTTAATAGTTATATACGATGTTTGTAATTTTGTGTTTTATTGTATACTTTCAAAATTTGAGTAATTTATTTTATTAATCAGTAAATTTTAAATGAAATTTAGAAACTAGCATAATTAGTGATATGAAATATTTTATGATAAACTATTGGGGCTATGAGTCATGTATAATTGCATACGACTATTACTCTAAATCGGATCTCTATTATAAGCTCTGCCAAATAAAGATGCCGTAAGAAGTGCTCCATCCATTGGTTGGGTTAAGAAAAGACTATCGTTGTTGAAACTCCATTTACTATTATCCGCTAACCTTATTTCACTTTCCATTAGACCAGGATAAACGTATTTAGTTGTAAAGTTTGCCGTTAACTTCAGTTCTTCAAAAATGGTGAAACTTTTAGTGGGGAAAACCGAGCACGCTTCTCCTTTAAACGTATCACATCTAACTAAAGCACACATTTCTGTTGCCATTACAGATTTTCTAATGTGAAAAGAACCGTTCAGAACAATTAAATAGTAATCTTCATCGAGTGAATAATTCGCAATTTTATAGCGGAGCGTGCAGCACAGTCCGTCGTTGCACGCTTCGATCTTCTCTGTCGTTTTCTTTAGACGGATTAGAGTAGAGTTTGAGAGATTCAATTCCATACAACGATAGTCGTGAGGGCTTTTGGGTGGTCCTAGAATCTTTTCGGAACAAACGCCAGAAGAGAGATTATTACCTGGGTGATCTGTCCCAAACTCGAAAACTTTAAAATTGTCGTCGGTAAGTTTTTTCACTCTTGGTCGAGGAACTCTGGACACACTTAATTTGTCTTTTCCATTTGGATTGTAAACGTAATGTGGAGAAATAGAAGTGCCCCTGTATATCCCACTACCAACGGATCCACTACCTGGATTATGTTTGTTAGATGCTATTAGATTGATATCGAATCGAAGCGACCATGAGTACTGAGTTTCTATGGAGAATAGATTTGGAAATGTATCTGTCCACCACGAAGTGTATACCATGGAGTCGATCTTCCAATGCTCTATCAATTCAATGGCTTCTTCCCACAATAGATCGAAACACACGACCGTTCCAAACTTTCCAAAATCTGTTTCGAAAGTCACAAATTCTGGTTTTTCGGGCACATCGATTTCGTCTTCGTTGTACAAATGATATTTATGATAACGCGCCGCCAATTTTCCTTTTCTGTCGAAAACCACGTTCGTGTTATACAAAAAAACTCCATCGGGAGGACAAACTCGTAATGAACTGTTGCAGGTTACAAACGTTATTAGATTAGATACTAAGAAAATATTGTTTTTTCGAGCCATACAACTAAGATCAGTAATTATCGAAGCGTTTTCGTATCTGTCGGGATTGGTACAAGGATTCCAATCTTCTTCGGTCGGATCTGGAACAAACTGAGCTATTCTTCCGAAGATTTCTCTAGTCAGGTAAGGATATAAACCGTATTCGGGGAAAACGATAATATCTGCTTCCTAATAAATATAGAATCTGTAAATCATGTTTAGAATATAGGAATAACGACGAAGTAACTTACATTTTTAGCTGCTAGAACTATCATTTCGTTGTAGATGAATAAATTCTTATATACACTGACCAGAATCGGTTGTTTTTCGTCATATTTTGGCATGTATTCAAAAACAGCAGCTGTATAATAATCTGGATTAAACGCTTTCACTCCCAATACACACAACAAAAGCAGGATCATTTCTGAACCAACGTTTAAAAATGACATTTTAACTCGTTTATGATGTAGGATGCTAAGCATTACGAGAAAACAACTTTCAGATAAATAATATCAAAAACAATTAATAATGATTATAAATTGTTTTTGACTTTATTTGTTAATTGTTATTACCTTATTTATTTATCAGGATCAACTATATGTTATGTATATATACTAATTTTCATGTTAAACTTTGATCCAAATAATATATTGATATAACTTTTATTTTTGTTTTGTTAAAATAAATTGTAAATATTTAATTCAAAAATAATTTATTTTTATAATTCCTGTTAAATATTTATGAACAGGAATTGATTCAAGCGAAAACAATATTTAAACAGGGATCAATAGAATATAATGTATATATGTATATATCTATATTAATCTATAAAATAATTTCACATGCTTTTTCCTTTCTGAAATATATTTTAATAAAATTGTTTATTAATGGACAATATATCGAAGTAAATAATAATTTATCGAAATTTTATTTATGCAATCTTACATAATTTGTATATCGATAAGATGAACTTTGTACATCGTCGATACGAGGAATTGAGAAAAAAGCATCAGATAGCATTTTTAGTATTTACTGTTTTAAAATGATCAGGATAACAATTGCAATAGACCGACTTCTGTATCATATATTTTCGGGTATATTCTGTAATTAAACATGAGCCGACTAACAATTATGTTCTATTACTTTAATATAATTTAACATTTCGAGTTTGCGAATGTTTATGAATTTTGAGAATCTTCTTTATTTTCTGAATGACTTCTTCAGTTTTAAGTTTGACGATTATTTATTTAGGCTATTTATTTTAACTCTTTCTACTTCTGGGCATTAAGAGGATTTTTTAAATCAAACTTACCATAGGTTCGGCTAGGCTTACAATAAGGGTAACCGATGGCATGGCTCGACACATTTCCCAAAAATTTAATAGTCCAGCTTTATAGTTTTTCCTATGCTATAAGAATTTTCAAAATAAAAAAAAGAAAAAGAAAATATTACTGGAATTTACGTAAAAAAATTAAGATTTTCTGAAGGTTTCATTTTCTTAAAAAATAGTGTTTGCTTAGCTTGCATAAATATATAAAAATGAAGTAACCTTTGATTTAACCGATAAAGGATGGGGGATGAACTATTTTTACATGTGATAAATAAGCCTACGTTAATCTATTTTGTTACATATTACAATGATAGCAGCGAATTTACTTAGAAAGAAACCTATGTGTATACGTAAACAATTAGAAAAATGTTCTTCGAAATTTTCAAAATAGCATTACTTTTAGATATTTTGGTGGTAAAAGCCATTAATTATTATTATACAGCTGCAGTCTTCGAATATCATACGGAGAATTATGAGAAAGATCCCATTTTAGTAACTGCCTTCAAGAATTTGCGCGTTTACCGAAAGGTCACCGTATTAGCGGCTCTAAATGTAAGTTTTTAAATTATTCCATGATTTATTATTTACTCTTCTGCTTCCAACGTCCTAAATTCTTTCCAGGAAGCGGATATAATAGTCTTTCCTGAGTACGGTTTATATCCTTTCGTCTCGAGAGAAAAATTTAAAATCGTAGCCCAAGACATTCCCGATCCGAAATACGTCCATTGGAACCCTTGTGTTAATTCATTAAATTATCAGAATATCTCCATTGCCAAAGAACTCAGTTGTATGGCAAGACAATCAAACATATACTTGGTGGCTAATATAATATCTGTAGTAAGTTGCAAATCCGAGAGCCATTGTCCTTCTGATAATATTTTTTTGTATAATACTAATGTGGTTTTTGATCGCAGAGGTTACTTAGTTGCACGTTACCGTAAATTCCACGTATACAAAGAAACCGGCATCGATAAGCCTCGAAAATCAGAATTTGTAATTTTCAAAACGGATTTTGGCACATTCGGAACGTTTATCTGTTATGATCTGAATTGGATTCAAGCTGTTGAACTGTTACAAAAATTTAAAATAGATACTATAGTTTATACTGCTTGGTGGGGAGGAGAACTTCCATCTCTTATTTCTATCCAGAGATACTTTTCTTGGGCCGCACATTTTAATGTCAATATGTTAGCTTCTAACAAGAACATTCCCTCTACTGGAACGACTGGAAGTGGAATATTTAGAGGCGCATCTAGTGATTCATATATTTATAACCCGAATGGAAAAAATAGGCTAATTTTGGCTAAGGTTGCTCGACGGGGAACGAAAATCCCCGTAAACGATACTTTCAAGATTTTTGAATTTGGAAATAATCATTCTGGCAACAATCTCTCATCGGGTATTTGTTCCATCAAAATTCTAGGTCCTCCTAAAAACGAATTTGATTATCGCTGTAATGAAGAAGATCTCTCCGATTACACTTTAATGAAATTACATAAAATAATCGGAAGCATTACAGCTTGTAACAATGGTTTATGCTGTAAACTTACATACAAAATAACGAATTTTCATAGAGAAGAATATTATTTAGCTGTCCGAAATGATACTTTTAAATTAGAAGGCACACCCGTTTGTGTAGAGACGTGTATGATGGTAAGGTGTGATTCTTATGGAGGAAAAAGGTGTTCTGTTTTTCCTACTGCAGCTAAGACAGTATTCGAAGAAGTAAGCATAAAAGCGAATTTTTCAACTGTATACATCTACCCTAATATTTTGACTTCGGGTGTTCAGCTAATGAATTTATCCCAATGGCACTTCAATGATAATAGTATTTTGTTGAAAAATACAACGGATAAACCTCTTTTAACAGTATCTCTGTTTGGGAGATGTTACAGTAGAGATCTGCCTAATCAATATAATGTTCATTTCAACAAAGCGACATACAAATATAAATAAACATGCAGACTATTAAATACGCCTAGAAAAATTTCTCAATCATTTATCTCAAGTAGAAAATGTTATCAAAAAGATTTAATGTTGAAGTGAAAGTAAGAAATAGTCTGCTTATCCTATTTTGTCAGGTGACTAAGATAAGCAAGATTTGTACTAAATTATTATCCTTATATACTTGAAAATCAATTCGAATATATTTATTCTGTCATTCATTCACTTTTATGTTTTATATAAATTACATTATATCAGTAACTTATTTTCATTTGTGTACAATACGTGGTTTTATAGACTTAATTGGTTTTAGCTATTGATTTGAAAGTGCTTAAATTCGCTTTATTCAGTTAAAAAATAATAATTTTTAGAAAATTTTGATTTAAAGAAGACAATAACCAAGTATTGATAATGATTAAGAGTAAACATTTTGTAATCATAATTATCAAATTTTTAAATTCTGTATTTGTTTTACAATTAAAACTTAATGAATATAAACGTAACTATGTCTAATATAATTAACTATTAAAGATTTTAATGAATGAATGAATGAGTTAATAATCGAAAAGAATTAAATGACATTTTGGAGTGGGATTTTTTAAGTTTTAAAAATTTAATTATCATAGTTGCAAAATGTTGCAAACTTGCGACGAAAACTTTGATACAATGTAGGAAAGAAAATTCTATTAATAATCTTGTTTAATATTGGCAATGTATTTATTTATTTTTGTTTATATTGGTTCTTATGTTTTTCTGTCAATGCTTTCTACTCAACATAACTAGGAAGGAGTAAGGAAGGATCGTAGTTTTCCATTACTCTCCATGTCTCACCAAAGTCCGTTCGATTAACTGTTTTTTGGGAATTCTATGCAAATCTTTGCTTTGCATGTTTGTAAATTCCTTACTTCATGTTGCTTTCACTTCATGATGTGGAGGTGAGTTGGGTTTTGGAGAACTGAGTCTGTCCATAACAAGTCTGTCCATTGGGTCTTTATGGACATGTTCCACAAAAATGGAAACTGCACTAAATAGAGACAGGAAAAAGGCGTAAAGCTTTTTGTGGAACATGTCCATAAACACCCAATGGACAGACTTACACACACATGATGTTCCGCAAGATAGTAGCAATACTTTTACACCGTGTTCTAGAAGTATAGAGAAATCCGTAAATCCATAAATGTTCTATAAACATAGCTCTTCAAACGCATTGTTTTAGCGTTAGAAGCGGTTAAAGTTAAGTTTTCTTAAGATGCTGCTTTGCAACACTGCTAAGCGCTGCGGAAAAGCCTTAATCTCGCTGCCCTTCAGCTTCTTTGCTGTATTAAAGAGCCAAGAAATGCAAGTCAAAGTTACGTTTTGCAAAAATTTAAGTCTCTGAAGGTAAAAAGCTGAAGGACAGCGAAATTGAGACTTTTCCGGATCTCTTAGCATTGCTGCAGAGCAGCATCTTAAGATGTAGCTAATCTGAAGTTTAGTCCCTTCCAGCGCTAAAACAATGCATTTGAAGGGTTATATTTATAATACATTTTTGAATTTCCGTAGGCATTTTATGAAATATGAAATAAAATAGTGAAATTTGTATTTTAATTTTATGCATAATAAATCTTTTAATATTATTAAAAGATTTATTATGCATAATAAATCTTTTAATATTATTAAAAGATTTATTATGCATAATAAATCTTTTAATATTATTAAAAGATTTATTATGCATATTATGCATAGAACCATATTTATCTATTAAAATAATCAAATTTTTGTTTTTATACTTTATATTAAATATGGTTGATAATTACTTTAATTTGAATTTTAGTTATACATTAATTTTTTTTTAGTTTTTATTTAAGCATTAAATTAAAATTTTTACTGGTAAATCTCTTAATATACAAAAATATTTAATTAATTAATATTTAATTTAGGTAATTATATTAAATTGAAGAATAATTTTTTGCATAATTAGAACGCTTTCCTTGTATTGATGTTATAATGTTCAACTTCAAAATAATCACAAGGAAGGCTTTCAGGACGTAAACACTATTTACTTTTACAAAATAATAGTAATAAAATAAATAAAAAACTAAACAAGCAAAAGAACAGTTTTAGTTTTTATGACTTAAAAAATTATTTTATTGCAACTTTAAGCGAGTTCCTCAATTAAACTCTTCGAATGCTGAATACACAGTATTTTTAGTACAGATATTTACAGAATTTGATATTATATATAACATAGATTAAATATTTACATATATCGATATGAAAATGATAAATTCCAACGTATAATACAATATTTAAAATATTTTTATATGACGCAAACAAACAATAGTTAATACAAGATATTTTTACAACAACGTTTACTTTTTCATTTATACGAATGAAATGTATATTTACATTCGTACATAGAAAACAAGTTATTTGATAAAATTTTATAATTTAGGCATAATAATCCATTCGATTTATTTTAAAAATTCTATATTTGTATATGATGATACTATTTATCTATTAGAATGATGTTTTTATTTTAATACATATTGAAAAAAAATGTTATCTAATATATATAATTATTACATAATTTATTTGTAAATTTAATTCTGTCAATAAAATTATATTTAAGAAGAGATAACGGCCAAATTGCTTAGTAATTCTTTAACCTTATAGCCTGATAAAGAATCCGACTGTTTGGTATTTGAAATAAAAATTTTTTTTTAAATAAAAACTTATAATCTTTCTCCTAGAATCAATAAAATTAATTTATTTATTAACAGTGTAACGTTATTTATGTCTTTTAAGGTATTTTGATATCTTACTGATATTTTAAATAAATGATATTAGAGTCATTGTATTCTGTACAATTTTAAAAGATAAATTAAATACACATAACTATATACATTCTTCCTGGTTTATAGGCCTATGGTATATATAGTGGGCTAAAAATTACGAAATAAGTCGTGCATATTTTAATTTCGCTTATTATGGGGGAGGGGAAATGTTTCCATTTTAACTTAATGATAAACGTTAGTTACTTTCTACGTGTATGGATTTAACCGTAAAAATACTACAGATGTGAATGATAAAAAGCGTCATTCTAATAAATAGTAATAACAATAACATGTAACCTGAATAACATGAGAAATTCGGATAAACTAACAAGTAAGATTAGGTAAATTAAAAACGAAGGTTTCTCCGAAAAAGAAAATTAACTCTTGAATGGTTAACAAAACGTAGAATGATAAAGAAAAGTAGGAAGAAGGATAAAAGAAAGAGCTGATTCAGACCATTATTAGACTTGACTTAACAGTTTTAATTTGTAAAATAGAAACCAACTGTGAGTTACGAACAATAGTTGGTTAAGGAAAGCGTGTTGTCGACTCGTCAGTCTTCGTCGAATCCAGTACACTAAGAAAATAGTTGAAGAATTTAACTATTTTTCAGTGTTCATTGTAACGAATTTTCTAACGGTCAGTGTCGTTCTATAAACATTAGTATCAATATTAAAGAGTAAAAACCATAACTACGTAAGCGCATAATTTTGATCCGTGAATGTGTTTTCAACGGTATTATATATTGATTTTTCTCTCATTATTTTAAAATTGCGTATTTCAAAACGGGCTAAGTTACTGGGAGTTTGAGGGGTTTATCCTTAATGTTGACAAATTCTGCTGAATAGTCAGCAAAGTCGCTCCACCAAAAACATTATATGATTTTGTTTTCGGAATTAAGAGAAATACAGCAATAAAGGAGCATGATTAATGGGAAGAATGGGGAAGGAAGTCAGTCTTCTTGACAGACACTTTGTATGAACTATCGCTACCAGCCATAGATATCAGTCAAAGAGATGTGGGATTACAAAAAGAAGGAATGATAATCGGGACGGATGAGGGTGATGAAGGGTCATATGTGGGTGCGATCGGCACTGAAACAGAATCTACGGTTACAAGAAATCGTTTATTTGACACGAAAAGAGGTTACAAGATTTCAGCGATCTTGGAAATTCAAAGTCGGTGGAGGTCTCTGGGGTTTCCTTTCCTTTCCAAGATAGTCCCAAATGAAGGAGTATTCCTGGCTATACTTTTTTATTAATATGCAACAAATTAATTACGATCGCTCTTATAGTGGCTTTGGAGTAATTTTTCGATGAAAAATTAACATTTAAACATCAAATTGGATAAACTAGTAAGCAAATTTAGCTATTAGAAGTGAAATTTTGTGGAGTCTCTGTAACTTAATTTCACCATTCTCAGTTTTAGATCTCTCTTCGCTAATTTTTCATCTCTGGTCGGCTATTTCCTGTCTGTATGGTCAGCAGCAACCCCATCGCTTCTTAACAAGATTTCGAATGCACTTTCGTAAGGTTTATCTTAACAAATTAAATAACAAATTTGGTCATTTTTCTTATAGGACTCAAGCGAGGTGGCACGAATATAAAATTTTTTGTAAGCATTATTTCGATCAGCTATTATTTTATCGATACTTTCAATGGGTTACTTTCTTCACATAATACTTTTATTCTCTTTCCTCCTAGACCAACCCGAAATTTATCTTGGCATTTCCTAATTTTTGTCTTGTCTCACAATCGCCTTTTATCATGCTGTTAAAACAACTTTAGATGGGGAGTTCTTTTGTTTTTTTTAACTTCACTTTTTGTAAAATTTAAGCGTAAAAAATGGTTTCTTTCAATATAATATATTTGTATTATATTAATTTATACTCATATTTAGTTTATAAGTTTCATTATAATAAAATTCTTTTATTATATACTGTATATATTTTGTTTTATTTTATATTCTTTAACTTTTATTTTTGTAATGTTTATATATATTATACATAGATCATAAATTGTATATATTTTGTAAGTTTTTACTTCTTGTTGATTAGTTTTTAATATTTCATACATATTTGGTCTTGGTTTTTGGTCTTTTGTTATTTATGTTTTTACGAAGTGAAATGGGTTAGTAATCTCATGCTGTATAGCAGTGTTTTTCAACCTGTGGGTCGCGACCCCCAGGGGGTCTCAAACTGTACACGGAAGGTCGCGGCTGAAAGAAAAAGACAAGTGTTTGTAGGTCCTACACTACAATAAAAAAAAAACTACAATTTCAGTGAGAAGGCTGTGCCTGTTTATTTTACAGTACAATTGGTTTTTTATCGATATTTAAATCTCAACAGAAAGAAAATTAAA